TGCGGGGTGTGGGAGGGAGTTAGGGTGCGGGAGGGCGCTCGGTGGGGTGCGGGGTCTGGGAGGGAGTTAGGGTGCGGGAGAGCACTCAGGGTGGAGGTGCAGGAGGAGGCTCAGGGCTGGGGCAGTCAGGAGGTGCAGAGCACTTACCTGGGGTAGCTCCAGTTTGGTGCAGGGGGTGTGCAGGTGGCTCTATGCATTACGGCACTGCCCCCATGGCCGCGATTCTCGGAGCCGCAATTCTGGGAGCTCCCCCCGGCAGGCAGGGCCACCCAGAACGCAGGGGCTTTAGGGGCTGCATGGTCCTGGGATAAGGGAGCCCTGGGGCCCTGGCCTGCAGCTCTAAAGCCCCCTTTGGAATGCAGCCTTGCGAGCACGGGCTGGAGAAGGACTCAGGAGGAGCAGGGGCAGCCACGCAGCCAGCGGCCAGAGAGAAGCGGTGCTTTCCCCTTCAAAGTGCCGCTTCTCTCCGGCTGGCTTTGAAGGGGAAAGCGCCGCTTCTCTCCGGCCGCTGGCTGCGCGGCTGCCCCTGCTCCTCCTGAGTCCTCCAGCCCGTGCTCGCAGGTCCACATTCTGAAAGGGGCTTTAGAGCTGCAGGCCAGAGCCCCGGGGCCCCCTTATCCCAGGGCCCTGCAGCACCTAAAGCCCCTGTGTTCCGGGTGGCCCTGCCTGAGTGGGGGAGCTTCCCTGCTCGCTCCCTCCCAGAAAGTCCTAAGCGCCGCCAAACAGCAGTTTGGCGGTAAGGGAAGCCCTGGGAGAGAGGGAGGAAGGGAAGGGGAGGAGTCGGAGAAGAGTAACTTGTGCAGTGCTCCCTTGTAAAGTCAGCCAAACAACCTTATAAGGGAGCATTGCACAACTTTAAATGAGTATGTTCCCTAATGAAGCAGTGACGTAACTTCAAAACAACGTTAAGCAGGAGGACCTTAAGTGAGGAGTTACTGTATATGATTTTGTGGGCTGACTACTTAATAAATGCTTAGTGTAGAGTTTCCAGAGCTGTATCTAAAGCATATAATAGTGTCTAATTTGAGAGGCCTGAAGGGTTTGCATCTATAATTTTCCATTTGTCTTGTTGCCCTATGTAGTTACTTGTTTCAAATATCCCTGCAGCCATTTCTGAACTAGAGTAACATAGTCTTGTTAGAGGAACTAAAATCTGGGGAGGGAGGGAGAGTGAATGGATTAATGGCTAGTTATAGGGCCCATAGAGTTTACTAATATCTGTTTTTATTTGTTTATTTGTTTTTATTTGTTTGTTTACTTGTATCTTATACATAAATATTAATTTACTCAGAACAATCTATTGGACACATAGCTAGTTTACATAACTCCATGTTCCTGTTACAGTTACCTCATCTTCCCACTCCTGTTCCCTTCCTTTGTTTGTTACCCCCCACTTGTTGCATTTTCTGTTGATTTAGATTGTAATCTCTTCAAGTGAGGTACTATCACCTACCATGGGGCCCCAATCTAGATTGAGGCCCCTGAGCACTACCTTAATATAAATTATTATTAATGGTTCTGATGAAGATTTTACAAAATTAGGTATGTGAGAATTTCCATTTATAGGAAAAGCTGGACATTTGAATAATTTGAAATTGACAAAATTTAAGTCAATTCCGGATCCATGTTTTGATTAAATTGTTATACCTACTACAATAGACTGGCAAATTAGAATTTGTTGAAAACAAAGTTTGAACTTTAATATGAATTTCCAGGTTCTGTCAGTTTAAGTCAATGCATCTTGTACTACAATGCTAGTGCTTACATAAGAGTAGGCCACTTATTTATTTCTGATGTATGGAGTGATGTTTTAGCACATACAGAACTGAAGAGCTTGTCTCTGTCGCCAACAGAATTTGGTCCAATAAAATATATTACTTCACTCACTTTGTCTCTTATTTCTGATGGGCAAATACAAACCTATGACTACTTTGTGTGCTGTGATGGCTTGACTAGGATTTGTTTGGTTCATAGCAGGTAGGGGATGTATACATTTTGCCTTGGAGGAAAGGGGGATGTGCCCAAGAAACAGCAAAGGTGAGTCAGGGCCAAATACAGAACTCCATATGGTGTACTCCATACTGTTCTGTGACCATTTGAATGGCTTACAGTTTACTTCTCCTCCAGACCAGGAGTAACTACCCATATCTAAAGACTCCTTATAGGGGCTGTTGTTGAGAGATGTTATCACAGATTTGGGGCCATCATCTAATCAAATAGATT